CAGGTTCATTTGGTGCATGGTAAGAGTGTGGAAGATATTGATTATGGTGGAGGTCTTTCTTGCATAAATTGGGAAGCAAATTTTAAGGTTGGACGAGTTTTTCCAAATAAGATTGCCCTTATAAAAACCTTATGTTTAGCAGCAGTCAGAGGCCACTTTCGATTTAGAACAGTCCAATCTGGGAAACGTAGGTTGTGTGTTCGTTGTTGGCAACTTCCTTGCCCTTGGCGACTTCGGGCATATAAAGTTGGATTACATGAGTTTAGGGTTGTTAAATACGATCCATTTCATGAATGTGATCTAAGGTATCTTAGTAGTCACCATCCTCAAGCTAGTACGGGATTGTTGTCTGACTCTGTGAAACGCAGATTCAAGGATTCTCGCACCATTTATACTGCAGGTGATATCATCAAAGATGTGCGACAAAATTTTGGTGTGACCATAAGCTACTCTAAAGCTTGGAGAAGCCGAGAGTTAGCTTTAAAGATAATTAGAGGGTCTGCAGAAGAATCATATGCTCTTCTCCCTTCCTATTGTTATGTATTGGAGCGTACAAATCCTGGAACTTTGACATACATTGAGACTGATGCAGCCAACCACTTTTTATATTTTTTTATGTCAGTTGGTGCATGCATAAGAGGATTTAAGTGCTCAATGCGTCCTGTGATTGCTGTTGATGCTACCCATTTGAAGTGCAAGTACAAAGGTGTTTTGTTTGTTGCCACCGCATTTGATGGAAATCGTAATATATATCCTCTTGCCTTTGGGATTGGAGATTTAGAGACGGATGCGGCTTGGGAGTGGTTTTTCACAAAACTACATTGTGCAATTGGTGATTGCTCGAATCTTGTTGTCATATCTGATCGAAATCTTAGCATAGAAAATGGGTTGAAAGGAGTTTTTCCTGAGGCAGCACATGGTGTTTGCTTTTATCACTTGAAGGGCAATATGAAAGCCTCATTTAAGTTGAAGAAGCGGGATCCGATATTGGGGTTTTTTGTGCGGGCGGCTAAGTCTTACCGTCTAGCAGAGTTCAATCGTTATTTCTCCATGATAAACAACGAGCGAGTGCAAACTTATCTAGTACGTGCAGGGCTCCATAAGTGGTCTCGAGCCCATTGTGATGGACGACGATATAATGTCATGACAACTAATATTGCAGAGTCCATTAATTCAGTTCTTCGTTTTGCAAGGATGCTTCCGGTGGTACACTTGATCGAGGAAATTAGGAATATGCTTCAGAATTGGTTTAGTCAACGTCGAGATTTGTCAATGAAATGTAAATCTATGTTGTGCCCTGATTTAGGTGAAAAGAAGTTGAGGAAGAGATTAGACGCTGCTTCGAGGATGAATGTGGTTAAAATCAATGATATGGAGTATAATGTGCTTGATGGTGATATGAACGGTCTCGTGCACTTGCAAAACTATAGTTGTACGTGTAGGAAGTTTGACTTAGAGCAACTCCCGTGCAAGCATGCTATTGCGGTATGTCGGCACTTGAAATTGAACCCATACTCATTTGCCTCTTTATATTACACTCAAGCTACATGGGCAGCTGCATATGCTGAATCCATTTATCCTGTACCACCTCAAGGGACATGGGTTGTTCCCGAAAATGTCCAAAATGTAAATCTCCTCCCTCCTATTTCAAAGGTTATGCTGGGCCATCGTAAGACGCAAAGAATACCTTCTAAAGGAGAGGACTCGCGAGAAAGAAAATGCTCAAGGTGCGGTGTGAAGGGCCATTATCGAAGTACATGCAAAGAAGCTATTCCCGTCACTAACAAGAAGCAGATCATTTAGATATTACAATTGTTTAGTTTGTATGTCTTATTCCATTAAGTGGTGATATTTGCTACCTAACTTTATGTAAAATTTGTGTTCCTAACATGTCGCTATTTTTGTTTTTGGAAATAGGTATCCTTATAGGTACCCAATTGTATAGATCATGATGCAGCTATTTATAACATTTATTGAATGTGTATGTATGATGTTTATGTGCACGATTGGTGTAGACACGTAAAGCAGGTGGCTAGAATTTTAAATTGAACTGTGGTGCAATACAAGGGCAGTGGAATAAAGGGGCAATACAAAGAATTCATAGTCTAACTACAATTTGTTTGCCAAGACATACATTAAAAAAAAAAAAGTGCTAAGACTGCAATAGAGCAACGATAAGAACACAATAAAAGGGCAATAAGAAAGCAATATGTGAACTTGGAAGTCCAACTTTAGCTCTATAATTGTCAAGACAGAGGTGAAAAAAGAGTTAAGACAACAATAGAGGTACGATAGGAAAGCAATATAAGGGCAATAAGAAGGCAATACTTAAACTTGATAGTCTTTCAACTCTATAATTGCAAAGACAACAATAGAGGAGCAATAGGAACACAATAAAAGGGCAATAAGAAGGCAATACGTAAACCTGGAAGTCCAACTTCAGCTCTATAATTGTCAAGACAGAGGTGAAAAAAGAGTTAAGACAACAATAGAGGTACGATAGGAAAGCAATATAAGGGCAATAAGAAGGCAATACTTAAACTTGATAGTCTTTCAACTCTATAATTGCAAAGACAACAATAGAGGAGCAATAGGAACACAATAAAAGGGTAATAAGAAGGCAATACGTAAACCTAAGTCCAATTTTAACTCTATAATTGCAAAAAGAGGTGAAAAACAAAGTGCTAAGAAGGCAATACGTAAACCTCTTAGTCCAGCTTTAGCTTTGTAATTGTCAAGACAGAGGAGAAAAAATAGTTAAGACAACAATAGAGGCATAATAAGAAAGTGCAATACATAAACTTGAGTTTACATTGCGAGTCTACTTATTAGCTAAACATATACAGATGCAGTTTCTCTATCCACTCTAGTTTCATGGTTACTAATTCATGAAACCAGTACTAATAAATAAGGAATAGCTGATCACATCAAAGCACAACTAATATCCAATTCCACTCCTATTACAACAATGTTTATGTGGTGAAACAAAACTGGTGGCGCATCTTCATTTCTCAAGCCATCTTCTAACCGTGAAGAAACCAGTAGCTTTTGTCCAATCTCGAACCTCCAAGTGATGAGCTGTGTTATGAAGGTGATATTCTCTCGCATGTGTAGTTCCCCACTCCCCATTTCTGCAACATTCCCAATTGCTTTTTATTCACCAAAGTATGACAACAAAACTAAAGATTCAGAAAAGTGCAAGTATAAACATTAAGTTAAAGTATGTGACTCT